GCCCCGCCCGGCGGCACACCCCCAGGCGCCTGCGGGGGGGGTCATGTCCCTGCCCCGAGATCCGAGGGGAGGTCACGTCCCTGCCGCCCCTCCGTGGCATTTTCTTTACGTTTTCTACCTTTCTGTCCCCGGGCACGGGGGCTCCGGCTCGCGCGGGGTCCCAGGATGTGTCCCTCCCGGGGAACGGGACTCCTGCTCTTGGGTCTGGGGGAGGGGGCTTGCCCGGGCCTTCTGCGACTTGTCCCGTCCCAGGCGCTCAATTGCCGCTCGCCAGTGAGCTGCAGGGACACAGGGCCGGGGGCCGGGCGCGCAGGCGACGCGCTTCGGCAGGGCCGCCTTCCAATAAACGCTCTTGTGGGGCTGGGCCGGGGCTCCGTGTTCTTGTCACTGGTAGTGCCACGATGAGGGGCACGAGGATGCGCAGGGACGTGCGGGTTCTGTGGGGACACGCAGGGACGTGTGGAGTCTGGTGTGGACATGCAGGGACATGTGGGGACGGCCCGTGGGGTCTGCGGGGACGGCTGAGCAATGCCGAGGCCCCCCAGAGGCTCAGCGGCAATAACGAATCTCTTCTGGTTTCACAGCTATGCTGGGACAAATTGTCACCCTCCGCCACCAGCTCCTAAACCCAGGGACCCCGTTACCCCCCAGGGACCTTGTTAGGGTCGACTTTGTCATCACAAGTGGCCAGGGTCAGGCATTTCGGGGGCTCTGGGGGGGTCACCCCAGGCTCGGCGCTGCCCCGACGTGGGGAACCTGGGTGTCCAGGGTCACCCCTGTCCCCTGTACAGCACCCTTGGGCTGTCCGGCCACCGAAACGTCCCCTCTGTGCCACCCCCTGTCCCCCTGTCTCCCCCTTTCCCCCTCTGTGTCTTGGTGTCCCTCGGTCCCTGTTCCCCTTCAATATCCCGCTGTCCCCGTGTGCCTCGATGTCCCCCCATGCCTGTCCCATCTCCATGCCTTGTTGCCCCCCCACCTCATTCTGTCCCTCTCCGCTTTGTGTCCCCCCAGCCCCATGCCTCGCTGTCCCCCCGTGCCTCGTTGTCCCCTGCCTTGCCATTGTGCCTCGTTGTCCCCCATGCTGGCGCCTGCAGAGGCGGCAGGTTTGCGTGTGGGTTTTATTGTGCCTCAGTGGCTTCACACGGGGGGGGGCGGCGGTGGGGCCAGG